ACACCAATGCGTTACCTCTTAAGCTTAAACAGTTGAGTGTTTTTTTTTATATATTACGGATTACTACTTTTAATACAGACAGCTGTGCGAATCCGGGCAAAAATAAATGTATATATTATTATAAATATTTTACGGCTGATGCCGATAACTGCTGGTTATAAATTCTAGATTTAGGCAGACGCAGTCGATAACATCTTTGGCCCAAAATGAGATGACCTGTAGCGTGGACAATAGGGTCATCATGCTTTGCCGACCTCAACAGAGCTTGAACAGGATTATTAGACACTGATTTCATAATTTCTTTTATATGTGCCAAAAATTCTAAGCTTTTTAATTTTTTATTGAGTTTTTCTTGTATTTTGAAATTGATATTTGACTTTAGTGCCAGTTTTTAATGTTTGTTGTTACAAAGCATCTCTCCTGCCAAAACATGAAGGCTGCTGGGTGGAGATGTTCTGTATATACCCGGGCATATGCATAATGATTTATTATAAATCGGAAGAAGACTTTTTTGTATGATTTTAGTAGACCATCTACGGAACACTAAAATACAAGTTTATTTTGAAATTTCCAATCTATTTCTATTTCACTTCTTTTTTTAATATGACTTAAATTCACGAATAAAAAAATATAATCCATGATCTAGAATAATAAAAAGAAATGACTTCATTCCCATTTACTGCGTTTTCCCAAAACCTGTTCTTTCAATAAAAAATTACATTTTAAACAGATGAATGTTCATCTCACGATTAAGTGAGATTTTATAACAGTCAAAAGTAAAAATAAGTTAGAAAACTAAAAAGATATCAAACAATTTTGAAAAGAGGGTTGACAGATTTTTTTTTGTTCCGAAATGTGAATTATTGCTGGCTCATGTTGGTTGTTGGTCGGTCTATCGATGATCTCTAAACTTATTGTTTAGTTGATTTTAGCAGAAGTTTTTATCACAATCAATTTTATAAAAATTATGCATCATGTACTTTATACATTTCTTTATTTATTTAAAAATATAATACATAATTGTTACATGTACACACACGAACAAGTACATAATCGCCTGTAAACTCTATGATTTATGACAAAACAGATGGACAAAATATTCATTTTAAAATGTTAATAAAATTTCTCATCACGTTTCTTCCCGAACACTAAGATATATTTGAAATTTTTATTTTGATCTGGCTTTTCAACCCATTTGAGTTTAATATTTATTCAAAACAAACAAATCCTTGTTTATCCCAACACTGATTTATTGACACAAAGCGGTGTCGTAAAGAACTGCTGGTTAGATAAGTAGTCTGTTAAGTCCTTTGTCCAGATTTGTGAATAAATAAGTAGACTTAGTTAAGTGCATTAGCCGTAAGCACTATGTTCCTGAAATTTTATAATGTAATCATTTTTATTCTAAAATTGAATTTCTATTGTGGCTAACAGTTTAAAATTGAGTTTAATATTTTTGTGTCGTCAATCATACAGTAATCTTAATTTTAAGAACGATTGTACGATTGTTGGCAAGCACAACCTACTTCACTAAGACCTACTCTAAACTTGCGCACAACTCTACAAGTTCAATAATCTTTGAATGATTTAACCCTGTTTAGTTATGCGTCAAACGAATGAGAATTAATGATTGACAATAAATAATTAGCAGGGACTTCAATGCAACATGTTTCCCATGTAATTTGAAAAAAAGTTGAATGAATGATTAATTATGTGCTTGTATAGATATATTTACTATTGATTTTAAAATAATACACAAACACACACCACACACTCAACAAACTCACACACACAACCTCGCATATACAAACACACACACGCACACACATTTGCTGCTTACACTCACAGACACACACTCACACAAACAAACACACACATACATATACATGTACACACAACATGCACACAAATATAAATAAACACACAAACACACACACAGACACGCATAGTTGAATATCAAATCTGAATATATGTAGGGAAGCAGTTAGAGCAGATTGCAGTGTGCGAACAAGTTCAAGGACCTTGAAGTGAACTTGGTGGCGTCCTTGACCTACATTGAACGCTTCTTCAAAGATTTTTGTCATAAATATCCACTGATGACGACTGATCTTTAAAAACTAAATGCTTTTAAGCCATTTTTTGAAAATTTAATAAATACAACAACGCAAAAAAGAATAAATGTATGTTTTTAAACTTTATAAAATCAACCTTTATCTGAACTTTATCGTTGAAAAATTCAATCGGAAATTGACATACGCCTACAACGCTCTGATATTTTTGAATATATTTTAAATATTTCTTTACAATTGAGTCATAAGAGTAAATGTACCTGTGCTTATCCTCATCGAAGGCAATTTTATGAATATTTCATAAAAAATTCTACAATGTTTTTTTTCAATACGTGCGTGTCGTCATACCTCTACCTAAATTTTAATAAATTTTTCTATTTTTTAATTGTTGAAATTTATTATTATTATAGTTGTTGTTATTATGATTGTTATGCTTGTTATTACTGTTTATGATGTTGACGATTATTATTTGTTAATTAAAAAATGCGCTCACTGAAAATTTGTAATGTGACGTTGAAATGTAAAGTTGCGGGGACAAATTTGCCGACACGTTGATTATTTATTTAAACATTTTTTTACATTCCACATGAGTTTTCTTTAATTTATTGTCTATTTTGATTTCTAATTAGTGAATGATAATCAGAGACGATCCGTTTCTTTTTAAATATTTTTAATAATTGGTCATAATTTTATCAAAATAGTCCAGGTTAACAATATATTTATTTATTGAGATTAGTTTGCATTCGGTGATATCAGTAAAGCTTACTTATCCTCCTTAACCGAAAAAAATTGTTGATAAGGTTCAGACCGACAAAAAGCTAAATTTACGTTAGCATCTAGCGCGCTTTATTTTTTTGGTTATATATCAAGTAATATAAATGATTGTTAAAGAATTGTTGAAAAAAAACTTGAAGTCATTGAAATTATCTCTACGGATCACATTATTTATCTGCAAGAGACCGAAAAGATTAGATGTCTTGTGGTTGAGATTAGAAAACTGTCTTAACAAGTTTCAATAAAAAGCAGCATGGGAATTCATTTAACAAAATGAAAACATAAAATAAATATTGCAAGGCTATGACTGAAGAATTTTCCGATGTTGAATTGTTGGTGCTTTTGGAAACTGTCAAGAATTTGACGTTGTTAATTTTAGATATTTAAGCATCTAATAAACGTTTTATGTGAACCAAAGTGCATGATTTGTGGAAAGTTGAAGTTTTTTGATGGTATGTTATTTTCTGTTTATCATGTAGGACTATATGTTAATAATATTTCATTGGAATGAATAAGTTTGATTAAAATCATTTATCTATACTAAAACGTAGAAATACGTGTCTTAATCACAATAGGATATCAAAGATTGGGTCTCTTTTAAAAAAATTGATTATCACTATCATACAGAGATTAGCAAACTTAATGTTAGTTTCTGCGAATACTAACCATTAAAATAGAAATTTTCAAACGTACTATTACAAACTTGTGTTTATCCTTTTGGAGATTTTTAAGTACTACAGTGTAAAAAAAAGCAAAATTTTTATACAGTCGTTATTCCACTGAACTTTATTTTTACTGTTGGCTAGTGAGCGCCATCAATTATCGAGTAAGAGTAAGCAAGTATGTAAGCGCGTCCACGATTTCAGCTGCGTGTGTAAAAATCTAGGAATTATTCGTCCCGGAATTTTCGGTCTCGGAGTTTTCGGGAAAACTCTGGGACCGAAAATTCCTATCTAGTAAAACCTGGGACACTGAATATCGTGTGTAATGATATAAATAATCTAAATATACATGCAGTCACTGGCAGATCAAGAAAATATAGACGGGGGCCAAAATTTTTAAAACGTTAAAATTTTTACGAGGGAGGATAAACAGCAAATGAGATAATGTGGCTGACGATTTTTTTTTATTAAAAATACTGCTCAAAAGTGCCCTCCTCTAGATTCGCCACTGTATAAATGTACACACTTAAGAATGATGAATTGTTAAAGGCGATCAATTTAACAATATAATGATGGTACGAATGTTGTTTTGAATACGTGGGTAGTGTAATTTTTTTTGTCGATTTTGTTTTCAGTACGACATTCTGTAATATTTTGAAAAAATAAGCAATAAACTTCAATGAAGTTAAACTTTATAATTTTTGCTGTAGTGGTTGCGCTGTCCGCTGGTTTGCCAAAAAAGATTTTACAAAATGAAGTACATTTTGTAAAAATTTCAATAATCACAGTCTAACAAATATTTTCGTAAAAATTGTTTTAACAATAATATTAGTATTATTAATTTCTGTCATTTTCCCAACATTTCTTTGTTTCAGTTGACTACTTTTATCCAGGTAAAAATTTGGTTTTTGTTTTATTTTTTGTAACATAATTACGTTTTAAAACTTATGCTCATCATTCAGGAGTTTAGTTTTTACCTAAAAAACTTTTTTGTTTTAACTAATTCATCCTTTATTTTAAACCACCCATTCACAATTTTTTTATTCATTTTAATATCCTGCTTATGCCCTATTAGAGTTTAAAATGTAAGGCGTAAGTTAGTGCAGTTTACTTTGACAATTGCTTTATTTCATTTAGAATTTGTTTTTTACGTATTTGAAAAGAATTTGCTCTTATTAAATTTTATTTTATTGAACTTTCTGAAAAATTAGGAGCTTGCAAAACAACAAATAATTATTGATATATTTGCCAAAATTGTCGCATTGCACTGTATAATTAATTTCAATTAATTAATATTTTTCTGATTATTTGTTATTTTTATTATCATTGTTTAAATGATGAGGTTGATAGCGAGGTTGAAGTTGTGTTTTAGGTTGTCACGATCTTAATTATTGGCGATCATGCGTATTTCGGAGAATAGTGAGTTATATAGTGTTTCTATTACTGTTAGCATTCAAATAAACGTTTAAACATGTTTGCGTTTGACGCAGTTGTGTTATCTATCAGAGATCTTGAACCTTCGAAATAACGATAACTTGATGATAGTGCAAGCTTCAACACTGGCGTCAGAAATATGGATCTTTGAATTACAACACTGGTTTCTGAAAGTTTATAACATTATATTGAATTCTGAAATGAAAGCAATTATTAAATAGTCTGGCCAAAATAATATAAAGACAAAGCTTAAAATAATTGAATGCTTCAAAAAAATAAAGTTTCAATTTTATTTAAATTCTTTAAATAGATAACAAAAAATTTAGGTTTTATTTGCTGTAGGTTATATAATAAACAGAAACGTTGAAATATTTTAAAGTAAAAGTTAAATTTCAATATAGATCATATGAATTTTAATTACAAATTGTAGCATTGTAGCCTTATAAGAAAAATATAATTTTGGCAATTTTGACTAAAAAACAAGTTACGATATAAAAATCATGAAAAAATGTGATGGAAAAAAATAGTTATTTTTTTCTGAAATGTCATTACCCCACCAAAACAAAGATTTCTGACTACGGCTATAAAATATTATAATTGACTTTCAGCTATTTTCACGACTACTACCTAAAACGTTTTTAACGGTGAACATTAATTAACAAGTATAAGTAAAATTAATTTTATATTTTATTTGTTTCTTGACAGAAAAGCAAGTTGATCAGTATGATAATCCAGGTGTTTTTTTTAATAATGTTAACATAAACATAAAATAATACTGTTTGGTTAGTTATAACTGAATATTGTGTTATAAATAATTAACACGGGGTTTTCCAACCTCACTCTTGTCTGTGCCCCACGAACCTAGTTTGGTTCAAATGAAATGATGAATATTTTTATGGTTCGTTGATCCATTCTAGGTCATATTTTACAATTGTGTGCAGTTTCCTCCTATTAGTAAATATTGTATATTGTTTTGCAACTATTTACACATTCAACCTAACCCAACCAAATACTTGTTGAGCCCAACTGTCCTTCTCGAGAATGTAATTTTCTCCCCCGATTGGCAAACCCTGATTTAAAAGAACGGTAAAACTTGTAATTATCGTTCAAAAATACTTTTACTGTTCTTATAACAAAAAAAATATAATATTGAAAATCTTTAATAAATATTTATTTTTTCTTTATTATTATTATTTGTTGTAGAAGACAAACATATTTATATATTTTAAAATGTTATCAAAGTTGTAATGAAATAATTATAAACAATTTTCAACCTTAGTTGTCTCAAGCTTTCTAGGACCTCATCTGCATTATAACTCAGGTAGTTATTCGGATTTTCGTCTTGAGATAATAATGAACGTGAAACCAGCCGTACTAAAATTGCTGTTCGTTCGCAAGTTAATTTCAATTAATTTATAATTTCATCGATATATAGGTAAATTGAGAAAAAGTTTTTATGTGAATTTCTTAGAATTTTGTTGTCAAAATAATCAAAATCTGAACATGTTCAAAAATGTTCTACTATATTTTTTCCAAAACAATTTCTAATTTTATACCATAAGAAATTATCTCAACATCATGTAAGCGAATTTTAAAAAATATTTATAAGGAAGATTTTTATAAATATTGACTGATAAAAATGAATAGTTTGAAAAAGTTCATTTTGTAAACTAATGTGAAAACCTATGAAGTCAGACAAGCATCATGCTGTGGAAGTAAATCTTCGATGCAAGTTACAGCATAAAAACATTAAAAAGTATAAGAAAATTTTGAGGCGTTTTTTAGTTGATGCATACAATATCGTTGCTTAAAATAATGAAACTTATGAGAAACTAGGTTTTAATAACTTATATTCATCAAAATAAATTTTGTGTTTGATGTAGTTACTTGAATTAGTTTGATGATTCTATTACTGTTGATATTCAAATAAACATGTTTTCACTTATTGGAAATCTTATACCTACGGATAAACAAACACTTGACAATTGTTGGAAGCTACAAAACTGGTGTTGGAAATATAAAGATCATTGAAGTTATAACACCGGTGTTGGTAGTTACGAACGTCGAGGGTTACAACAATATATATACAACCAATTATAAAAAAAAGATTGAATATAATTTGAATGTATTTGATTATTTCAAACATGATTTTTACTACCATGAACATTTTTGCAGCTGAACCTAATGACCAAGAGAATACGCCAAGTACAACAATTCAGTTTATTTTTACGAATGATGATTACATAAAATGAAATTTTATGTTTGACGTTGATTCTTAAATAAAAATGATTCGAAAGAACTTTTAATGTAGTCAAAAATTTAATCAAATTTAATTCAGTTGAAAAAAGTGATGATGGGTACATTAATCTAGGTAATTTGTTTACTGCTATTTTTAATTTTATGTCTTTGAAAAAATATATAATTTGCTGTTTATTCGGCAGTGAAAAAATGTTTAAATTTTGTCTGATAAGAGTTTTCACACAAAAAAATTCAAATTTCAGAACTTTGAAAAACTTTCCTGAAAAATTAGCTGAATATTCACAACCTGTCTTTATAATAAGGATATTATATAATTAAGTTTCAAATTTGAATCAAGTCAAAATAAATAGAGAATATTCAATCTTTGAGACAATCGCTCTACAATTGAAATTCGGTTTTCTGTAATGATTGTGTAGAATTTTAGAAAATATGTGAATGAAAAAGATCTATGAATAGGATAAAAGCCTACAAAAAGAATTAAAAAATTTATAAATTGATTGCTTAATTTTGATAACTTTATCTAGGCTGAGAATCATCGTAAAACTGTCACTCTTATTTGGTTGCCCAAGTTTTCCAAATTGATGTTAGTTATCAAACTTTGTGGCAGTGCTGATTTAAAGTTGAATCGTCAAGAGCAACAAAAAGTTTTAGAATTTGGAAGTGAATATAAACAATGCCCAATATTCTCTAGAAATGCAGAGGCTGAATTGACCAATGATTAATAATTGCTCAAAAATCTTACCAGCAGGGGAGTTATTGATTGAGAAACATGAATACATATTAGAAATAGGTAACGTGCTAAATAAAGAATGTTTGACCAAAAGTTATTAACTGGAAAACAAGCTTAATATTAGCCGTACTTGCAAACAATTGTAAATTTCTTGGCCCACCCATCAAATATCAAAAAATTGTAACATTATTCGAACTTCGGCCTCCCCGTAATTTTGTCAATGTCCGAGACCATTCAGCATGCCCAAAAAACTTTGTTTAATTACTTCACTTTTCAACAGCTTTTCATAGTTGTGTTCGTGATAATTTAAAAAATTTTCACAATAATTTCGATGGTTTATATATTTCAACACAAAAGTTTGAAATAATTTGAAATTTTTTATTCAGTGGATTCCAATAATGAAGATTTGAATCTAGGTAACATTTGATAATATTATAATACTTATAATTAATCAAATGTTTAATTTAAAATCATTTGTGTAGAATGTTAATATATTGTTCAATTAATTTAACTTTGATGAAAAACCCTATTAACGTTTCACCATGATTATGAATTGAATTGAATTGTTAGGAATTGAATTGACTTGAAGAAAATTTATAAGCGCCTCTATAGAGTATTTTCCAGAAACACAGTCTATGATGTATTTTGTTGAAAAAATGATGCTTCAATCTGCTTTTGAAACCATTACGGCTAATACCGGTAACATCTTTCAAATCAGTCGGTAATGAGTTCCAGACTTTGGCAGACGTAATTGAAGCCAACTTCGGCCCATAATGATATGTGACGTAGACAAACAAGGTCTCCATGCTTTGCCGACTAAAACCGAGCCTGATCAGGAACGCTGATGATACTATATGAATTCACACTACCTGACCCATCACTTCAAATTTCCACTGCTGAGTCAAATGCAGTAAATTAAGTTGGTTGTTAGATTTCATCAAACTAGTTTGAACTTAACCTCAAAAAGCCAAACAAATGTTGATAAGAACGTCACATGGCTTCGGTTGTTTGATGGACTAAAAGAATCTTGTGACAAATGTTGATGTTATACTCGATCCACACTTTACATTTGAAAAGCATATAAGTAAAATCTGTCAGCGATGTTTCTATCAACTACACAGATCAATCGGACGCTATTTGACAGATGAGTCAACAAAAGCACTCGTTTGTAGTTTAATCTGCTAAAAAATGACTACAGCAATGCGATTATGTTCGTTGTCAATTCTTTCGTAATGATTTACAATCGGTTTAAAATTAATATTTTCATACTATTTTAATTGTAATAGAATTAATTATATACATTTTCATTAAATTTTTTTTTATTTTTCCATGCTCGTGAGGAGCACAATGTTTTTGAAATAAACCATAATCCCAATAAAAACTTCGATTTTGTTAACACACTGTATTGATAAAACCATTTTTACATTGTATTTTGACAGTAATAAATTTTCAAGAGATCTAAATCAAATTTTGTAATTTTTTTTAATATTTTTTAGTTGAGCCAAGCTATCAAGTCGTAACTCCAGGTAGAGGTTAATGTTTGTCTCTTTATATGTGTATGATGTTTGCTTCATTTAATGTGTGCGATGAGATTTGAGTATTTTCTACAAATTATATAAATTGTTAACTTTTTAAAATTACAAATTTTTGATAATTTCTGAGCTCACATAAAAAAGTGTAATACTTTTTACTATTAATCAAACTGAGTTGAGGATCAGTTAAAAACGTACCAATGTTACTAAGCTAAGGTTTGAAATTTATTAAAATTTTAAAACTTTTAATAGCGCCTCTTTTATTTACTTTAGTAACAAACCAAAAATCTCTTATGTAAATTACAATGCTATCTATAGATAAATATTTTCAAATTTAAGACAAATTTAATTTTCAAATAATTTTAACGAATATTTTTAAGAAAAGAATATTTCATCTAAGATCATATTTTGTCAACTTCTTAATGATTTACGGAAAATTTTTCGCGGAAAACTCTTTGCGAGAAAATTTTTCGCAGAAAGTTCATCGCAGTAAAACTCTTCGCAGAAAGTTTTTCGCAAGTAAATTCTTCGCAGGGGAAATTCTTCGCAGAAAATTTTTTGTAATGGATTTTCAGTTTTTCAAAGGGATGTATGATAATGCTTTTGTTTTATCGTTTTAAATAAATGAACAAGTTCTTTTAAGTTTATTGCTTTAGAAAATAATACAGTACTCAATATACTATTTTTAATCATTTGAAAGAAAAATATTAAAATGTTTGTGTACAAAAAGTTCAGATATTGTTCAATCGTTTAGTGCTTGCTCATCCTTTAAGCTATTGATAAATTTTCAAACAGTCGGGTAACTCGCTCCAATTAATTCGCCATAGGCTCTATGCCATCCTTCGCATGAATTTTTAGTTTTGGGAACGCCCATTGATGTTGCATCATAACAATTCCATAGTTCGTATCGGAAACAGGGAGGCCTTCTTTGACGACGGTTTGGACGTCCAATCTATGTTTCCTTAAAGAAATCTATGACTGGTACTCTTTCAGCTGGAAATTCTCCTAGTAACCGTTCAAACTTTTCAACAATATCAGTTGAATCTAAAAAGGCAAGGACCGAGAGCATCCGCATCTTTAGAGCAAATTCAGCGTCTGTTTCATAACGTTGTTGAAGAACATTAGCCTGAATGTTACACCAAATGAAAAGGAAAAACAGCCTTTTTGTCTTGATGCTGGAAACATGTCACCAAAAGCGTTAATAGCTGACAATTCAAAGTCGGTCATAATCGAAACTGAAGACAAATTGGGCAAATAAGTTGATTAGGAAAACGAAAATAAATTTTTTCAGCTTTTGATAGTAATAGTGCAAAAACCGCTGAGATAACACGGTCACCATCAATACCATGAATTGTGATTAGTTGATAGAACAATGGCGGCACAATTTTGAAAGTTCTATCAGCGTACCAATTTGACGAACTGGAAATAAATTGAAGATTTATTTGTGTGGAAAAAAAATGAGAATCCAATTTGCTATCGTGCAAAAGAAACTAATCGCCAGCGTGAGTAATTTGATAATCAGATGGAATATTGAGTACTTCCTGTTAAGTTGGATTTGGTGGAGAACGATTCATCCTCTGTCTAGCGTTGCGAACCGTTTTCTTCAACGTGGTAATTGAAAGCAATTAACGAACGATTTAACGAATTATTCTATTTTGAGTTAAATAATAAACAAGAAAAAATTTTGACTGAAATCTTTTTTTGAACTCATGCTCTGTGTTCTTTGATCAATCGTTTATTATGTTGTAACATTCAACATTCAATAGTAACTTTTATATCCAATTCTAATCCATTTTACATTGTAAGCAGATCAAGGGAGCAAACAAACTGGAGGTTGCTTCACGTGTTTTTTATTTTTCTCTTTTCTTGAACAATTTAAGACTTTTCGTTCAGGCACGACAGAATTGACTACTTACGATGAAATATTTTGTTTCCACACTTCTATAATTTTTGTCATAAATTATTTTTTAATTTGTTTTTATTTTTAAGCAAATCAGATAATCAGCCAAGCAAAAGGTTTGCTGCTTATTTTCACGCAATTTAAAAGTATGTTATGTAATTTATATTATTAGCAGAACGAAACATGGCACTTATTCCAACTGAGCTTACTTCGTTATTCAAAATGATCATAAAAACACCTATAATAAATTTTTATGTTCAACTATGACTCCTTGTTCACAATAATTACACAGATCAACTAGAAAATGAAGCGACAGGTTACAAAATTGATTAAAGATTTTAAACACTTTGAAATTTTTCAGATTTATAATTTCATCAAAAAATTTCAATGACATCTCATTAAATATCATTTTAATGGGTAAAATGTAAGATAATTACATTTCATTATTTTTCAAATGAGAATCTGAAGTTCAATTTTATACCTCAGGTTTTTACTTTATAAAGTCTATTTGCATTTTGAAAACTTATACAGTAATGGTAATACTCTAAGAATGATGTCATCTATTGTTTATAATGCAGATATGTCACAGACAGAGCTGCTTATATTAGAACTTTTGAGCCAGAAAGGCTGTATTAACACCACCACACGATGCACATAGGCATTATGTATGCAAGCGCTAGCATCGCATTACACGAGTATGATGGTCTTTGAATTTTGAATAGATAGTATTCGATGCAGATCAACGCGTATTAAAAGCACGAAACAAAATTTATTTCTACTATGCTTACTTGGTGACTCAAAATGATTATATAAACTCATATAATAAATTTTTATGTTCAACTATTTCTCCGTGTTCATAATAATTAAACACAGTTCCACAAAATATGAAACAACAAAATACACAATGGAATTTAAATTTTAAACTAAGTAAAATTTTTCAGATTTATAAGTTCATCAAAATATTTCACTGACTTTGTATTTATTTTTGTTTTCATGAGTAAAACTGTATTGTAGTTACATTTCATTGTCTTGTTAAAATTATTCTAAACTCCAATTTCAAATTTTTTGGTTCAGATGACTTGAACAAAAACACTACAGGTTTCAGTTTTTTTTAATTTATTTGCATTTCAAAAACTAATTCTGGGATGGTATTACTCAAAGAATGTTTTTATTTATTCTTTATAATGCTGATATGTCACACGCGGAACTGATCTACAAACTATTATATACTTTTATTAGAACTTTTGAGCCAGAAAGGCTAAACTATTCCAACCAAACGATGCAAAAATGCATATGTATTGTTATAACCGCCGAAATTATCAAACTGTGTTGTATTTTTTGTTGTTTTAATATTGGTACGTTTGTAATTTTTGGATTGTAAACTATAGAGAATTGTAAAGAGATATCGAGTCTATGCTAAAAATCTAGTGTAGAGGCTATATAATGATTTGTGAAAAAGCAAAGATTTTCGGGATGGTTTGAAGAGAAATTTTATATACTTTTTTAGAGAATTCTTTTATAGGAAAAATTAATACAACTTTCGATCAACACAGCCAAAATGATTAGAATAATAGAATCAGCCTTTGAAAGAACACAAAAACGACTATAGAAAATCTTAACTTAATCTAACCAGCTTATTCAATTATCTACAGTTACAGTAGAGATCGCAAGTCTCTCCTTCCCACGAACGATATCGACTGCGATACACGTGTTAAATGTGGTGCACATGATGTCTGCAACGCACGTTATATCTGAAAAGCACTGATAACTGCGATGCACGATGTTGAAGATGATGTTGAAGACAACGATGAAGAGTTTGAAAATGCTGAAGTAGATGGCAGTGACAAAAACATTGAAACTTTGATGTGCAGTTAAACTACCTCTTGGATCTTTTTGGCAGCAACTCACCTGTTTTTTCTTTCAAACAGCTACAACAGTGATTTAAAGAGTAACGATGTCCGTGATGTTAATGCAGATGTGAATATTCAATCAAAAAATTAAATTTTAAGTTTTGAGATAACCTCTAGAGTACGCACTAAGAATGAAAGCTTGATCTTTGTCTACCTGGATAATGGCATCAACGACAGCTTAATTGCTTATGAGGATGAGATGAGTTTTTTATTGCTGCATCACAGATCGACAAAAAGATGTAAACAACAAATATTGCAAAATGCACCTGAGCTATTTGTCTGGTCATTCTACACCTAGTAAACTCACTATAAAAACACTTGTTTCAATTGCCAACAAAATCAAGAATGGACCACGACGACTACCTATGAATCAAAGAACCGAAACTCCGTGACCTAAAAATAATAAGCAATGACCTAATGTGGTTATACAACCTAGGGAACAGAAAATGACGATGCTTAGCAAAACTTTCATATAATTAGAAATATTGGAACAAGATCGTTAACAAGAAAAATAACGTAATTTGCAGGACCTATGACAACATAAGACAACGGGTAAAGTTGAAGGTTGACCATTTGGATAATGTCTATTTTAAGAATTAACAGACTAAGGTAGGGTAATGTTATAATCGCCAGAATAATGAAATGGCGATATAATATTCATTATCATAACTAATGTTATATTTGTAATCTATGGATTGTAAACCAAAGAGAATTGTAAAGAGATTTTGAATCTATGATAAAAATCTAGTGCAGAAGCTATATTAGAATTTGTAAAAAAAAACATAGGTTTTCAAAGAGGTTTAATTGTGAAGTTGTAATTATGTTTTCTGTAGTTATTTGGATTAGTTTAGTGTTTCTATTACTGTTAGAAATTCAATAAATGCTCAAAAAAGTTTGCGTTTGAAGCAGTTGTGTTTATCAATCGGAAACCATAAATCTACCGACTGAGACGACAACTTGGAAGTTACAACACTGGTGTTGGAAAGAGTGAAATCTATTGAGATATAACATTGGTGTAGGAAGTAACGAACGTTAAAGGTTAAAACACTATGCAAACGATAACACCGAACCATACGGGTGTGATGGTTTTAAATATCAGATAGACACTACTCGATGCAGATCATCAGTATTTACAGCAAGAAATATAGAATATATTTCAACTGAGCTAACTTGGTGACACAAAATGATTATAGCAATCATTATCATGTTCAACTAAGTTTCGAAGTTAATAATAATTCAACACAGTTTCACTGAATTATGAAAGAACAGGTTACACAATTGATTCTAAAAATTAAATTTTCATGATTATTAAAAAACATAAAAAATTTCATTGTCATCGCATTTATTATCTTTTTTATGAGTAAAGAATGAATACTAATTACATTTCTTCATTTTTTAAATATGAATCTAAAGTCCAATTACATAACAAATGGTTCAGAAGATTTGAACAAAAACACGACAGTTTTTTGCTTTTAAAGTTTATTTGCATTTAAAATACAAACTCAGTAATGAAATTACTTTAAAAATGGTTTTTTATAATCAGATATGTCACACGCTGAGATGTTTACATGCATTTCTAAATTTATATTAAAACTTTCAAACTTCTAACTCCTCTACAAGACGCCCATATTCATTATTTTTGACGCGTAAAATCCGCATCATACGTGTAAGATGTTCTTTCAATTTTGGATAGATTATTAAATGCAGATCATCTCGTTGTAGAATGACTGAAACAAGACACTTTTAGAAAATGAGCTAACAGGGTGACAATATTGATAAATATAAAAATTAGGGATGCACCAACTGAGTAAACTAGTTGACTCAAAATGATTGTGAGAACCAGTATCAGCATTTTAGTTTTATCTCAAAAATCATTTTTATAATTTTTCAACACAGTTCCACTGAAAAATGAAACAACCGGTTACACAATTGAATCTAGATTTTGAACTATTTGAAATTTTTCAAATTTATATGTTCATCAAAACTTTCTAGTGTCATCGAATTTAATACCTTTTTTATAAGTAACAACTTCATACTAATTTCCTTTGTTATTATTTAATTGAGAATTTAATGTCCAATTTCATTTCTATTTGTTCAGATGACTTGAACAAAAACACGACAGGTTTTAGCATTTTAACTTTTTTTTGCAATTTATAAATAGTTCCAGTAATGGTATTACTCTAAAAAAGTTATTTCATATTTCTCATAAACATCGCTACTTTACATGCTTTTCTATTCTAAAATTAAAACTTTTATTTTTTATCTTTTATTGGAGTTTAAATTTCATACATATATCTCTTGGTTCAGATGCCTTGAACAAAAACACGACAGGTTATTGATTTTCAAAATGTTTATTAGCATTTCAAAAAGTAATTCAGTGATGGTTTTACTCTAGGAACAGTTTTTTTGTTTTTCATAATGCGGATATGTCACACTCAGTGCTGCTTCAAAAACTATTATATTATTATATTACAAATTTTGAGCCAGAAAAACCTTAATATCTCCACCACATGACGCATCAAAACATTATGTATGCACGCAGTAGCACCGCATCATACAAATATAA